CCCTCCATGGGGTGGGTGCTCACCCAGCTGTGCTGCTGCTGCCTGCGGGAGCCCTGCGCCAGGGCTGCATCCCAACCTGCGCAGCCCCCATCTCCCTGCAGGATCCACGGGCAGAAGCATCGGCATCGACCATGCCACGGTGCCTCCTGGGATCGAGCCCAGGAGCTTCACCTCGCACGAGCCGGCTGTGGGGAGGAAAAAAGGGCGCGGGCAGGGGCTGGGGGATTAGCCCTGCATCTTATCCGCCCCCGGTGACAGCCCGCAGTCGTACCTCGCAGCAGGGAGGCTGCTGCCTACCGCCCTGCCACCTGAAAGCTGCCGGAGATGAAACAGGGAGAGCCCCAAAGCCTGGTCATGGGCTTACGAGGAGGGGACATGCATGAGCAGGGCCCCCGCGAGGCTCCGCGGGGATGGGGGGATGGCACCCTGAAACCCTCTCTGCTCTGCATGCCTGGACCACACTGGAGGGGTGATCCCACGGTCCCATCTTTCGGATGGCTGGATGTGGCCAGCAGCATTGCCGGCTGCTGCTTCCCTGCCTGAAGGCCAAGCTGCCACCCCGGGGACCGCCCCGGTACCTGGTGACCGCTCCGTGACATCCGTGATGTCACCCGGTCATCGTGGCACACCTGGATGCCGCTTGACCAAATGGTCCATGACACCGGCGTGGGAGGAAGCCACAAACCCCGGGGACGCTGGCTGCGGGTTAGGGAGATGCGGGGGGTGACTGGCCACACTGCATTAACATGGTCTGGGTCTCGTGGAGCATCCTTGGGTTGGAAAAGCCCATTTTCTGTCCAACCCCTCTGCAAAGATCCTCGGCTCCACGGTCTGTGTCTCCTCCTCTGCTCCCCTCCCGCAGGACCGAGACTTCATCATGACCTTCAATACCTCACTGCATCGCTCGTGGTGGATGGAGAACGGGCCGGGCTGCCTGGTGACGCCGGTGATGAACTCCAACCTGGCGCCCGAGGACCATCACGTCATCACCGTCAGCGGCTGCCTGCTTGACTACCAGTACATCGAGGTAGTGAGCAGCGCCATGCAGATATTCCTGGCGGTAAGGGCAGCTGCCGGCACTTTTCCTCCTCATCCCTCATCCCGAATTGTGAAGCGAGAGAAGAGGGACGATGGCAGGGACCAGGGTGGGCAGAGCCACTGTGGTCGAGCTGGAGATGTCCCACCATCACGCATCCATTTTATAGCATCGAGGGTGGCGTTGGCTCAGGGGTGGGAAGAGGGGAGCAGACGGAGCCCATGCCAGCACCCCGGGGGTGCTGCCCACCCCAGAACCTGGCAGGCTGTGGGCTGGATGCTGCAGGAATCGGGGGGGGTCTCGGTGTAACGCACCCAGACGCGTTGCAGCAGTCTGAGCCGGTGGGATGTGCCGCTTGCTGGAAAGGGAGGGTCCCCCCCTTCCCGGTGGCTGTCTCACCCCATGGGGAGGTGGGAAGGGGACATCCCTGGACGCAAAACTCCCAGGGAGCCTTGAGGGGCTGGAAGAAAATAACTCTTTAAAGGGAATTGGGGTCCAGAGCAGCTGCCATGCACCCGCCAAAGGGGCACCCAGCGCTACGTGGAGCTCAACACCCTTTGCACTGCCATCCCAGTGCGGCGCCAGCCCGTCCCCCCAAGAGCCACCACCCTTGTCCC